GACCTTCTTCCTCGAGCTGGTCCCACGGGTAGCCAGATGAGCCATGTGTGGGGCACAGCTGGTGATCCATTCTGATGACTAACGGGAGGGCAGGGACAGAGCTGTGCCTGCATGGTGCATCCCGACTAACAAGGCCATTCAAGTCTGGGCACATTGGGAAGCTTTTCCTCCTGTGTGGTGGCTCGGGCACGGAGCCAGAGTACGGCTCATGCAGCGCCGGGACAGGTCGCGCTGCGGCTGCCGTGACTCAGGCTGCCTGTCACAGGGGAGACAGGGGGACTCACACGAAGCCGGTGATGACGCCTGTCTTGAGGAGCACTCCACGTAGGTTTTACTTTGGGATTAATACAGTGACATACTGTTGTTGCCATGTTAGAGGTGCTCACCATGTTTCTGCTTAAGCAGGGCTGAATCTGGAACACAACTGTTGCACAAAACTGTGTGTTTTTTCTGCCCTAGTGTCGCTCCTTTGACTTAGCATTTTAGATTAAACCCACTCATCTGAAGCAGGGAAAACTCAGGCGATCCCTGTCTGCACCTCCCCTATAGCCTGTTTCACCAGGCAGCACATACCTGGTAGGCATGGGATACTTCCCGTCCCCGCGCCCCGAAAAAGGGGACCTCTGAAGAGCTGTACAAGCGAAATAATTCCCAGGGCTTTTTATTTTTTTGGGGGGGGTCCTTCTTACCCCCCACCCCTCCTCCAGCTTTTATTTAAAATCTGGAGATGCAGTTGCCCATTCCTCATGACTGTGCATACTGCTGGGGCACAAGATCAGCCTCCCCTCTTGTACTCGTTTCCTGAAAAAAAAAAAATAACCGCCCAATTTGTGTATGTATAGTTTAAGATAAGGGCAGGAAAAGTTGTAAAAGAAAAGAAGTGAGAAAATGAACAGCTTGTTTGCTGGGAGTACTCGCCGGGGGGTATCTCAGTGGCACAAATGGGACCTGCTGCACTTCTTCCGCAGGTGGTGCAGGGCCTGGTCCTGGGCAGACTCACCAGCCTCTTCACGGAGAAGACCCTGCTGCGGCTCAGCGTGCTCGTCCTAGCCGGCGTGGGCCTGGGCATGGTGAGACCTGGCATGTCACCGGTGGCGTGTCCCGGGCTGTGGGAAGGGAAGCAGTGCTGCGGGGACCTTGCGCAAATGCGGTTGTGCGAATGCGAGCGCTGCGCTGGGGAGCGAAAGCACGCGGACGCATGAGTAAGCGCTCAGGGCATTTAAAAGGAAAAAAAAATCCAACAGTAATCCTGCACAGAAACTTGTAAATCTGCCCTGAGTCACTAGATTTGCATGCAGATCTTGCCTCTGTCTTTCCTAGCTACCGCGTTGCTACAATTGCCTTCAGCATCTTTCCAAGCCTGAGCTTGGTCGCTGGGGGCTTTCTGCAGAGTGGTTGAGGAAGGAGCAAAGGGGACAATTTTGTTCCTTAGTTTTAGTCTGAGCAATACTACCCACTGCTGTTGGTGCTGGCGAGGGGGTTGATACTGTGTTAGCCCAGCCAGAAACCCTCCAAAAGCAGCACAGATGGGATGCAGGCTGGGCACAGCAGCCAGTTGGGGGTGGGATTTAAGGAGAGGAAGGTGCATTTTTATCCAAGAAGATGCTGGCACTGGTGCAGAGCAGTGCCCCAAACTGCTCCAGGAACCAGGATGGCTTGAGCCTCTGGCACTGGGAGGAAAGGAAGGGAAATGGCTGCTGTAAGTTGGCTTGTGAGCTGGCAATGAGGCCGTGCCCGCGGGGCTGGGGACATCCTGACAGTCTGGCTGAGACACAAGGGTCAGCAGTCACTTCCCACAGGAGCTATTCATAGGCAAAGGCGGCAGCTGCCGTCCTCTGTGCTGGCGTGGCCGCGTCAAAAAGCGCTCTGTTCAAGAGGCTACCAAGAAAACATCCGCTCCTGGGGTGCTTTTCCGTAAAGGAGGAGGTCTGCGATGGGCTGAGTCCTGCTACCATGGTGGGAGACTCACTCCTCTGGTTGCTTCTGCAGCGCCTTAATCAGAAGTGCTTAGTTCTTAAACAAAACCTAGGCAAAGAGCCCCTCTGAGGGCAGAAACTCAGCTGTGCATGAGTCCAGAGGGGAGCTGCATGCAGTTCGGGCTAAACCCTCAGCATTTCCAAGTCATTTGTTAGCCGTGTCTCTGGGCTCCTCCACCTTCTGTAGCCAAGGGGCACAGGTCAGGTATTATGGAGACAGCTCCAGCAAATCAAACTTCTGGCTTAACCAGCGGCAGAAGGGTTTTTCTGGCCAGAATAACATACCTCGAGACTAAGGCGGAGATCAGAGACTGCCAAGGAAGGGAGGATTTCGCTTCCGCGCCCCGGAGAGATCTCGTCGTTTGACCAGCAGGGCTGGTGGAAGAGCTTGGAGTGGCCCTAGGGATTCCCACCACTCCACGGCAGCTGCAGGGAGGTCTCCACTAGGAAAATATGCACTACCCGAGCCATTACCCTGCCTGATTTTGCTCGCTAATGTGCGCTCCCAGCCAGGGCACCTGCTGCGAGTAGCTGGATGCAAGGACTTTACTGGCAAGCAACCAGGTAGATCAGATCAGAAATCCCAGCGGTGCTGCATTACATAATGCACCCTGCTTGCTTCTGCTGCAGTTTTAATTATTTATGATAATGAGTCCAAATGCCTTCTCTGGGCTGTTTTGCTTAAGCAATGGATGCTTCCTGAAATGCACAGTGCTGCATGCTTTAAGTAAGTAATTTGTGGTGGGATGGGAGGAAGGGTCTCCAAAATGGTGCTAAAAGTCGGCCAGGGTGTCCTCTGCTGGCTGGAGCGTGTGTGGGGTTGCTTGCTGCCAGCTCGCTGGTGACCCACAGCACGTCCTCTCCTGTTGCCTAGGCCCTGATGAGGAACGTGCTGCATTACTGCATTGTCTCTGTGCCGCTGGTGTTCTCCCTCAGCACGCTGGCCACCATCACGGACAGCATGCTCACCAAGGCTGTCCCTGCTTCTGAGACCGGTAAGGCTGGGGAAGATCAGCCCATGCTTGGTCTGCTTTTCCCACAGCAGCTTGCACCCACCAGCAGTGGCCGAAGGCACTCAGCAGGGGCAGAGCTGAGGCACTGGCACATCGTGTCACTGTTTCCAGCAGAAGACCCTGTGTGCCCGCGTGGAGATGGTTCAGGGCACGGGGACCATGCTTCCCTTCCTCCCACCTCTTTTAGTTCAGAAACACGACACAGAGGTGGGAAGGGGCTGTGCCTGAGCGGCTGAAAAAACCTGGCTGGCCTTTCCTGCTGCTGCCCTGTAGCAGCTGGTGTACTCACAGCAAGCGGCCAGTTCCCTGAGGCACCAAGGGCCCCCTTCCTTTCAGGCCGAGCTGTGTCATGAGCACGGCCCTCCAAATCTCCTGCAGTTCCTGCTTGTGGCAGGGAGCTAGGCTGGGCTGAGCCCTGCCATGTCGTTGGTGAGAAGGACCGCGGGAAGGATGTGCCACAGATGGAGTACCAGCCCCAGCGTCGTATTTCAAAGCTGCCTTTCCGGCGCGGCAGTGACTAAGAGAGGGTATTCATTCATGCCATTTTACTCAAGGCGTCTTGCCTGGGTGTGCTACATTACCCTTGGGAAACATGTGCTGCTCCCTGCCTGTGCTGAGGGAACTGAGGCCCAGCAGTGGCTGCTCCAGGCCACATGCTGAGTCTGGCGTTATTGCCCACCTGGGACAGCCCCAAGGACCCCAAGGTTTTGTCAGGTTGAGCCTGAACATGGAGAGACTACAGGGGGAGAGAGAGAGAGAGAGAGAGGCGGGGCCGGGGGG